TCTTTAAGATTTTGATCTTAGTTGTGGGATCAGGGAAACTGCTTTGGGAAGAGAGTTCTAAAGCACTGTGGATGATGAATCTGAGGAAAGGAAGAATCTTTTTTCTTCTGAGCAGCCTGTATAGCTAGCTAGTCTGTCTGAGAAACAGGTACAAAAAACATTGGTGTTGTGCTTCTGTGTTGCTGCTAGGGGAAGGGACGGTCCTGATTTTTGTTGACTTTAACAGCTTTTTAGTGCACCCGTCCTTACAGTAAAAGAGAACAGGGGGCTGTGTTGCTTACTGCCATTCACTGAAGGGAATAAGCTGGCTTTGCTCTCTATAACTATTTGAAGGAAGAAGCAATTGTTAGTTATGAATAAAATTTATAGAAATGTGGTGAGACTGTTTTAAGCAGGTTAATTTTGCCTGCTGCCATAATGTTTAGTAGTAGGTAAATATTGAAATCACCGCAGAATGAAAAACAGGCAAGAATTGCTGGGCGCAGTGGTGCACGCCTGTAATCCCAGCACTTGGGAGGTTGAGGCAGGAGGATCGCCTGGGCTACATAGTGAGTTCAGGGCCAGCTTGAACTACAAAGGGACACTGCCAAAAAAAAAGGGCAAGAGTTCATACTAATGAAGTCAATTCTGTTATCTAAGCTTTTCCTTAGACTCTAGACCAGTGGTGGCAAACCTATGGCATGTGTGCCTCAGCAGGCTTTTTGCACCTGTACATAGTATATCTGGCCCCTTTTTTCCCATGCCCACCCTCCCCTCAAGACCCCTTCCTGTGTACAAAAGCTTTGTTTCCATTTTTTGCTTCTATTTTCACTTTTTTTCTTGTCCCTTCCTTTCTCTCTGCCTCTTCCTTTGTTTCCCTTCCCATTTGAACATTTTCTTCCCATTTTCCATCTATTATGCATTTTAGTCCTTATTTCCACTTTCATTTTCTCATATCAGAGAAACAATGTGATACTTAAATGTGTATCCGATTTATTTCACTTAAGAGTGTGGTCTCAAGGTCCATTTAGCTATAAATTGCTGAAGCTCGTCCTTCTTCATGGCAAAATAATACTTTGTTGTATAAAGAAACCACATCTTGGGCTGGAGATTTAGCTCAGTGGCACTGCACCTGCAAAAACCCCCACATTTTCTTTATCCATTCATCAGTTGATGGGCATTTGGGCTGTTTCCAGGATTTAGCTATTACGAACTGTGCTGCTATTAACATGGGTGTGCATATATCACTGGTAAGGTGCTTTTAATTCTTTGGGGAAGATACCAAGAAGAGGAGAAGCTGAGTCAAATGGAACCTCTAGTTTTAGTTTTTCTCAGCAAGCTATTATCAAAATGTTCGCCATCATTGCTCTAGACTGTATCTTCAAGTAAAAATCTATTTCTAGTTTATTTTCGTCTGTCTGCTAGCCTAGAACTCACTATGTAGCTCAGCTAGCCTCAAACTTGCAGTGATCTTCTTGCCTCAGCCTGAGATTATAGGGCTGCACTATTAGTCACCCCCCACCACCAGGGATTGAACTCAGGACCTTATGCTTGCAGGCAGGTGTAGTGTCACTGAGCTAAATCCCTGGCCCTGTTCTGTTAATTTTTTAAATGTTAGAGAATTTAGTGCTTTTAAGTTACTGGCATTGAGATATACAGGTAATGGCTCTTTTTTTTTTTTTTTTAACTGAAAAGTGGTTATATTCTTACTGAAATGGATTTACTCTTTGGTATTAGTAAAAATATAAAAGGATATACATTTAAATTAGTGGATAATTTGGTGACCAAGTAGAGGAAAATGACTTTTACCATACTATTGTTGAAATTTCCAGGGTAGTGGTGGTTCTTTCTTTTTTCTTCTCCGGACAGGGTCTTAGAGCCCACGGCAATCCTCCTGTCTTAGCTTTCTGAATGCTTGGGATTACAGGCATGTGATTCTTTCCTACTTATTCTGTGCTTTTTTCCTGATTTTAAATTAATTCCCCTATTTTTTTTTTTTTTTTTTTTTTTTTCGGGTGTAAAAAAACGGGGATCAAACTCATATCTTGCACTTGCAAGCCAGGTGGCAGAACCACTGAACTAAATCCCTGGCCTTCCCCTAATATTTTTGTTTTCAGCCAACCTTTGTCTTCTGAACTTGTCTTATAATGCTTCAGATAGTCTAAAATATTAGATGGTATAAAATGAATTTGTTTTGAATCTATATTAGGCCAGTACTTTTCTATTTGATTTTAATTTCTAAATAGCCTTTGCTTGTGCTGCATGGTTAATTTGTATATCTTGGTGCAATTCTGTTACTGGAATACCAGCCTTAGGATGTGAGAAGATAATCCTTGATTCAGAGTGTTTGGCTAAGAATTCTTGGAGGATGAACTTCTGCCTAAGCGCAGCTGACTGTAGGATAGTGGCCTGGCCTCCAGATGATTCTCTGGCCAGCAATGTTCACATCACCTGGTAGCTTGTTATAAGCAAATTCTCAGCCCTGCTGCAGACCTACTGAATAGAAAACTGGGGATTAGACCTACCAGTTTGTTTCTAAAAGTCCTTTAGGTGCTTTTGATGCATGGTAAAGTTGTATCAAGTTCCAAACTATGAGGTATGATAATGAAAGAGACCCCTTTCTTGATTTCTGGTGAACCAGTGTTTGGGAGAGTGATTGACTTTAGGACTTTCTTTGCTTGCTTGGCGAGCAAAATAAATGCTCTTTATATTCTCAGGTGCAGATTTTGTATGCTGAGGGGAAGTAATGAGTACTCATAAGTGAATAAAATAACATATAAGAACTTGTAAAGAATATATTTTTATTAATAAGTGCCAAAATGGGTTGGGGATTTAGCTCAATGGTGCCATGCCTGCCTCTCAAGCAAAAGGTCCTGAGTTCAATCCCTGGTACCTAGAAAAGAAAGTGCCAAAACATTTTACAAAATACTGAGTTTCCATAGTGTTGTATATTTTGATCATATCTATTCCCACATTGCTGCTCTTTCTTACCCCTCCATCTTTCCTCTCCTTCATTCCATACTCTTGTCTAATAATAGTCTCCCTTTTATTTTCATGTCCTCTTCTTTAGATTCCACACATTAGGGAGAACAGGTGAACACTTGGCTCTTGGAGTCTGGCTTATTTCCCTTAACATGATGTTCTCCAGTTCTGTCCCATTTTCCTGTACATGGCATAATTTCATTCTTCTTTACAGCTGAATAATACTGTATTGTGTATATACCATATTTTCTTTACCCATTCCTCTGTGGATAGGTAGGCACCTAGGATGGGCTTGAACTTTTGATCCTGCTATCTCAGCCTTGATAGTGCTATGATTACAGGTTCATGCCACTATCCTTGAACCGTTTTCAGTTTTTAAAGTAATCTCCATACTGATTTTCATAGTGGTTGTACTAATTTATATTTCTATTGTTGGTGTAGAAGAGTCCTCCCCATCCCAACCCTGAATCCTCACCAGCTCTGACTGTTTTTTTTTGTATTCTTGCCTATGGAATCTCTGCAGTTTTGATTTGTTTCCCTAAAGGCTAAAGCTGTTGAGTATTTTTTCATAGACTTAGTGCCCATTTATACTTCTTTTGATAACTATCCATTCAATTCATTTGCCATTTACTGATTGAGCGATTTCATTTTTTGGTGTTTTTTTGAGGGTTTTTTTTTTAGTTCTTTATATATTCCAACTGTTAATCCTCCATTGGAAGAGTAGGTGGCAAAGATTTTTCTCCAATCCTGTAGGCTATTTTATTCTTGGTTTTTCCCATTGCTGTGCTTATTTTATTATTATTATTATTATTATTATTATTATTTTTTTTTTTTTTTGTACTGGGGCTTGAACTATGCTTGCAAGGCAGGGGCAGCACGACTGAGCTAAATTCCTGGCCCTTGCTGTGCTTATTTGATGTACTTATGTTTGGTTTTGTGAGACAAGGTCTTATTAGATAGCCCAGGTTGGCCTATAGTGTTTTCTTCTAGTAGTTTTAGGTGTTATACCTAAGTCTGATTCATTTTTAATTGACTTTTATACAGGACACCTAGGCTATTTTATATCTTGGCAATTGTGAATTTTATGAAGTGGGTATTCAAGTATCCCTGTAACATGCTGACATTAACTCCTTCTGATATGTGCAAAGGAATGGTATAGCTGGAGCAAACAGTAGCTGTAATTTTAGTTACTTGAGGAAACACCATACTGATTTCCATAGTGGCTATACTAATTTACATTCTCACCAGCAGTGTAAAAAGTTTCCTGCTCAACCCCACTCTTTGCCTCCACCCCGAGCAGTGTGTATTGGTTTTCAGCCAGGGATTGAACTGAGGACCTTGAGTTTATGAGGCAGGCTCCAGCACTACTGAGCTAAAATCCCTGGCCCTGTTTTTTTTGTATTCTTTTTTTTGTTTGTTTGTTTGTTTTTGTTTTGTTTTTTGAGACAGTTTCTCACTATGTAGTTGAGACTGACCTGGAACTCACTGTGAACTCACTGCGATCCTCCTGCCTCAGCCTCCCGAGTGCTGGGATTACACGTGTGCGCCACCACGCCCGGCTTGTTTTTTTTGAAGACAGGCTTTTGCTATAAATATAGTTCAGGCTGACCTTGAATTTAGTGTGTCCACCAGGCTGGCCCTGAGTTTGTGACCCACTTACATCACACTCCCAAGTGCTGGAGTATAGGTGTTCAGCACCATGTCTTGTTTGAACATTTTTCCATATACTTATTGGCCACTTGTATTTCTTCTTTTGAGAAGTATCTGGTCATTTGCCCATTTATTGGTTAAGCTGTTTGAATTTTTGGTATTATGGCTTTTAGATCCTTTATATATTCTATATATATTTGACAAAGATTTTCTTGCATTCTGTAGGTGGTTTCTTCACTTGGTTGTTTCTCTTGCTGTGTAGAACTTTTTATTTGATGTCCCTTTTGTTGATTCTTGCTGTCATTTCCCATGCTATTGGAGTTCTGCTGAAGAAGTGTCTGCCTGTGGGCAGATAGGAACTTCTATTTTGAAATTTACTTTTCTTTCAGGAGGCAAAACCTTCAACGGAGGACTTGGGGGATAAGAAGGAAGGTGAATACATTAAGCTCAAAGTCATTGGACAGGTGAGTTTCTGTATTTTTCTTCTTTGATGCTCTTCTAGTGTGGGGATAATTTCTTACAGAAAATAATGTTTTAAGAAAGGCATGTTAATTGAAAATGGCATTTTTATTGATTATACATACTTCTCTTGGAGGTAAATGGGGCTGGCATGATTTTTAAATTACTTTGCTAGGTAAGATTATATCACTTTAATTTCTCCAAGTGGAAACTTACTCTGAATTGGTGCGTTTCATAGGCAAATGTAGAAAATAGTGTTCCTTGGTAAGGCCAGGACCACTGTTAAACAGAAGAGTCTGTGTCCTTTTCCTGACTGTTCACCCTTCCCTCATCCCCTTTTCCTTTGCTTGGCACCCTTTTGCCCTCGACATAATCTGTTTCTTACTGATTTTCTGAGATGTTAAGGTCAGCTGAAGACTGTTGGAGGAATGAGTCATCATAGTTTCTCCATAATTACATGTTTTTTGTTTTTTAAGTATGAAAGAATTACAGTAGTGGGATATTGGTCTTGCACCAACAAAATTCACAAGTACTAGTTTCCTGCATTCCCCCAAACGTGGGATATTGCCAGTCTTTAATTTTGTGCCAATATCATAGGTAAAAATCTTTATTTTACTTTTCTCTGATTATTAATAACATGTAATTTTTGTCTTCTGTGTTTATAGTTTTACATTTATTGTGTATTCATATCCTTTTCCCATTTTACTGATTATCTTATTTTGAAAAAGTTTTAAGAAGAGATATTGAACAATACTATCATATGCACACTTTTTTTTTTTTCTTTTGTTGACACAGGGTCGCTCTATGTAGTTCTGGCCAGCTTTGAATTCACTAAGTAGCATGCACGGGCTGGCCTTGAACTTGAGGTAATAATACTCCTGCCTTAGTCTTCCCAGTGCTGGGATTACAGGTGTGTGCCACCATTCCCTGTGAGTTGAGTGTTTTAAAAAACCTGTTAGGAATGGTAAAAAGAATATTTTGTGGAAAAATAAGTGATAAGGTTTATATTTCTAGTTTTAGTATATGCTTGTAATTAAAGAATTTTGTCAAATACGTGTAAGGTTAAATAAGCTCGATCCCTGGTACAAAAAAAAAAAAAAAAAGAATTTTGTTCAAGCAAAGCAAATATTTATGCAAAGAGCAATAATTGTTTTTCTTTTATCTCATTAGGATAGCAGTGAGATTCACTTCAAAGTGAAAATGACAACACATCTCAAAAAACTTAAAGAATCATACTGTCAAAGACAGGTTTGTATATTACAGTGTTAAATACATTGCTTAGCCGTAAATTTTTCTCTCCTGAAATCTGTCAGAACAACAAAATGATTCTGTTTCATTATTTTCACCATTAGGAACTCAATGAACAATCACTCTAATTTTGTCATTGTACCTATGTGATTCTGTTTGCTCTTTTGTGGGCCATTTCAAAGTTTGAATTTGTAAGATGTGGAGCTAGCATGAAAGTAACTCAGAATTGTAAATGAGTGGTCCACTACATGTTAAATTTAAGTGCTAATATTAGTATACTGTCATTATCCACAGCACTCGTGATTTCTGCTAGTTTTTTTTTTTCTGCTAGTTTTATTTCATATCTTCAACATCAAGAATTTTCTTTTTTTTTTTTTCTTTCTGCGACTGAAGATCAAACTCAGGACCTTGCGCTTGTGAGGTGCCCCATCACTGAGCTAAATCCCCAGACCCAAAGAAGTTTTTCTTTTAAGAAGATACATATAGAAGAAGTCTAATTTATGAATACCACATCCTCAGAGCGTATGGTCTTTGTGAGCTAGATTACTGGATTAACATTCCTTCAGCCTGCCTGATTCATACTTGGGCTCTGTCACCACTTGGCTTTTGTGATCTGGAGCAAGTTACTTAACCTCTATCCTTCTGTCCCCTTTACCAAAAGAAGAATATTACAGTGCTTGCCTCATGAAGATGAAATGAAGTAGCTACATAAAACTCTTAACATGGTGCCCAAAGATGCTCAATAAATGCTACCCATTATTGTTGTTGATTTTTTTTTAGTAAGTGAAATTAAAGTCAACGGGAGATAGCCAAGGAGTATTTTAAGTGAAATTATGCTTTAAATTAATAGGTAAAAAATAGGATTAACTGGGCCTGGGATTTAGCTCAGTGGTTCTGGTGCCTGCTTTGCAAGTGCAGGGATCCGAGTTCGATCTCTGGTACACACACACACAAAAAAAGGATTAATCAGTTTCTACTAAAATTGAATTGCAAACCATCATGGTGGCGCACACCTGTAATCCTAGTGCTCAGAAGGCTCAGGAGAATTATTGAGCACTTACTCCAAAGTGTTCTGAAGGATATTCTAGAAAGAGATAACAAGGATTACAACTCTGTGAACCCCAGCAGAATAGATCCACTAGTCAGGGTAAGAAATTGGAAGAGAAAAGAAGGGAGCCAACAATAGGAACACAACATGACAGGAATAAGTCAATACATATCATTTATAACATGCAGTGTTAAAGGTCTCAATTCACCAGTCAAAAGAAACAGACCGGAAGAATGGATCGAGAAGCAAGATCCAACAGTATGCTACATACACATTTAATTCAAAAAGAAATTCATAGACTGACAGTATAAAAGGACAGAAACCCAGAAAAAAAGCAAGGCTGTTCTATTGGCATACAGAGTAGATTTCAAGGCAAGACTGCTTGAGAGAGACAGGGAAGTCACTACATCCTTGTAAAGGGAGCAGTCCAAGAGGAAGAGCTAACAGTCAAATATATACGCACCACATGGTAGTGCACCCAACTGTATACAATATTAATGGACATGAAAAATCAAATAAGCACTAACACAGTTGTAATAGGGTTCCTTAGTACCCCACTATCACAAATAGACAGATAAACTAGACAAAAATCTAAAAATGAAATGTTAGAACTGAACCAAACTTTTGAACAGATGGACTTAGTAGATGTCTACAAAGTGTTCCACCCTACAGCATCAGAATACATTCTTCTTGGCTGCATATGGGACGTTATCCAAAGTAGATCATATACTAGCTCATAGAATATGCTTAAGTAAATGCAAAGGAATTGAAATTATCCCATGTATAATACCAAACTGTAGTGCAGTGAAATTGAAAATCTGGCAAAAGAAACCACAAGAACTTGATAAATACATGGAAATTAAATAACATTCCTCTGAACAACCAAAGGGTCACAGATGAAATTAAAGAAGAAATCAGTTTTTACAATTAAACAATAATGCCAATATAACATACCAGAACTTATGGGACACAATGAAAGCAGTCCCAGGAGGGAAGTTTATAGTGGTGAATACCCATATCAGGAAAACAGCGGGCTCAAATAAACAACTTAATGTTGAACTTCAAGCTTGTAGAAAAAGAGCAACTCAAGCCAGCCCAAAGCTTATAGGAAGGAGGAAATTATAAAAATCAGCAGAAATTAATGCAATAGAGATTAAAAAAAAGTACAAAGAATCAGTGAATTGAAGAGTTGGTTTTTTGAAAGATGAAATAAAATTGACAAATGCTTAGCCCACCTAATTAAAAAAAAAATGGAGGGGAGGTGGATTTAGCTCAGTGGCACCATGCTTGCCTCACAAAGTGCAAGGTGTCTTGAGTTCACTCCTGGCACCCCCCTCCCAAATTGCTCTGAGTCCAAGGCCAGCAAGACCCTGTCTCGGGGGAAAAAAATTGAATTGCAAAAAGCCAGACAAATAAAGGAAACAAAAACATTGAAGAATTGTATTATATGATATTAACACAGGCATTGTATGGGCTCTTTTTTGCAAAAAAAATGTTGCAAAGATTAAATACTTCCTTTTCCTCCCCATCTTCTGTTCCTCCTTCCCCCTTTTTCTTGTTTTGTGTTACTGGGGATTGAACCCATGGCCTTTGTGCTGTGCTATATCTTCAGCCTTTCTTATTTTGAGACAGGACATTGGCTGTGTTGCCCAGGTTGGGCTTCAATTTACAATCCCCCTGCCTCAGCCTCCCACATTGCTAGGTTTATAGGTGTGTCCTACCATACCCAGCAGTCTACAGTCTATAGAAAGACTTTTTATATTTAATTCATAGAGGCTTGATAATTTTTTCCCTTAACATTTAATTATAGAAATCAAACAAGAAATTCAAAATTTAATTTATGTGAGTTTACAACATTTCCCAGATATCTCTGTACAAGATATTATAAAGGTGTAAACTAAATGTTGGTTGAATGACTTTACCATTTTTATTTTATAGATTGGTTTCTATTAAAACTTTTTGCCCCTTGATGCTAGGGATTGAAACCAGGGCTTTGCGCCTGCTAGGCACATACTCTTCCATGAGGCTGTTACTCAGATTCACAGTATCTTTTTCTGTGTTTGTGTTTGTGTTGTTGTACTTTCTATAGAATCTTTTTTTAGATTGCAATATGAGATATTTTTCTAAAAACCCTATAAAGAATATTCTACCTTTGTTAGCCAGTTTAGTATTTATTATAACTGGAAAGAATTTAAATCACATGAAGGGTAAGTTTTCATCTCATACTTATATATCAATATATGTTTAGAAATGGTTTTTATTCTTTGCTTTTGGAACAATGTTTAAACGCCCACAGTAAAATCTTAATATATTAGCATTGAGCAAAACTTTCCTCCCCTTTGCCCTTTCCTCTTTCCCTCTTCTTTTTCTTTTGGTATCGAGGATTGACTTCAGGACATTGCGCTTACAAGGCAGGCGCGGTGCCACTGAGCTAAATCCTTGGCCCCCTTCTTTCCCTCTTCTCTATCCCTCTTCCTGTTTTGCAGTACTGGAAATTGAACCCAGGACCTTGGCACTGAATTACATCCCAGGTGTTTTAATATAGGGTCTTGCTGTGTAGCCTACACTGGCCTTGAACTCAATTGCAGTCCTGCCTCAGCCTCCTGAGTGCTGGGATTATAGGCGTGTGCCACCATTCCTGGCTAAAACCACTTTGCTTGTAGAGTTAGGAGCTGGTGAAGATGTTCATTCAGTTTCTTTCTGATTTCATTTTTCATGCTAGTAAAAATGAATAAATTAGTGGCAAGAAGCACAGAATTAGAAACAGGTTTGACTTTAAATTCTTAGCTGTGTGCTCTGTGTAAGTGCTCTACAAGCCTTGGGTTCCCTAGTCAGAAAATGAAGATGAATTGATAATGCAGAATTGTTTGCACAGAACATTTATAATTGTGTATGCAAAGTACTTGGTAAATATTTTGATAAATAGTTGGTAAATGACTTGGTTAATAGTTGGTGCTTAATACATGGTAATTAGGATAGAAGTAGCTATCTAGTGTTATGTTCTATGTATCTAAGGCTTGGTTTCTGTGTATCAAAGTTCCTATCTATGTCTTTTGATATTTGTATATACATTCTATATATATATCTATCTATATATATAGATAGATATATATATAGATGTATATATACATACATACATACACTTCTTTTTAAACCTTTTTTTAGGGAGTTCCAATGAATTCACTCAGGTTTCTCTTTGAAGGTCAGAGAATTGCTGATAATCATACTCCAAAAGAAGTGAGTATAATTTCTTTCTGAATCAATTTAAAATTCTCCCTTCAACAATTTGGTTCATGGTATAAAGGTATTAAACTGCCCTTTTCTGTTATATCCTTTGATTTATGTGGTATATCATTTATCAAAAAACAATAATCATTTGGGTTGAGCTTTCAAAATACTTCTTGCAAAAGTGCCAAAAGAAGGGAGGTAGAAACAGGTTGAGTACTGAAATTGTCATGAGTCCCAGAAGCCAGCTCTGTTTTTTGAGACAGGGTTTCACTGTGTAGCTCAGGCAGGCCTTGAACTCGAAGCAGTTCTGCCTCAGCCTCCCAAATGCTGGTGTTACAGGTGTGCAGAACTATGCCTGGCAGACCCATGTTCTTTTTGACATTTTTGTGTTTCTTTTGTAATACTTTTACAGAAAAGTTACAAGAATAGTACAAAAAATTCCCATTACTCTTTTCCTACATTCACCTACCTTTATCATTTTGCTACTTTCATTTATTATCTCTCTTTCTTCTTATATTTGTATATATGTGTTGTGTCTGTTTTTTTTTCCTTCTTCTGTCCCAAACCACAAGTAGATTGTGTACACCATGACCACTTACTCCTTAATGCATTTTTGTTTGTTTTTTGAAGTACTAGGGATTGAATCTAGGCATGCCTTTACACTGAGCTACATCCTCTGGCCCCCCAGCCCCCCTTTTAAACTTTTTATTTTGTTTTGAGGGTTTTTTTTTTTTGTGTGTGTGTGTTATTGAAATTGAACTCAGGACCTTGTACTTGCGAGGCAGGCATGGCACCACTGAGCCACATCCTTGACCCTTAACTTTTTATTTTGAGACAAGGTCTTGCTAACTCCCTAAGTTGCCCAGGCTGGACTCAAACTTCTGATCTTCTTGCCTTAACCTCCAAGAGTGCTGTGATTATAGGCACATGCCATCATGCCTGGCTTAGTGTGTATTTCCTTTTAAAAAGTATATTATTTTATTATTAATACAGTATTATCAATCACAGGGAATTTAACTGTTAGAACACTTTTAATTTTTTTTACCCGGTACTGGGGAACAAACTCAGGACCTTGTGCTTGCCAGGCAGGTGCAATGCCACTGAGTCACATCCCTGGCTCTAGAATACTTTTAATCTACAACTTAGTTTTGCCATTTATCCCAATTATGTGTTTTGTTTTATTTTTTGGTTTTTTGAGAGAGAGTCTCACTTAAGTAGGTCAGGGTGGCCTCAAACTTGACTGTGATCTTCCTGCCTCAGCCTCTGAAGTTCTGGGGTTACAGGCATATACCACTATGCCTGGCTTTTATACTGACATTTTTTAAGACTGCAAACCAATTATTTTCTGAAAAGTCTCATTTTGTGTTTGTCTGTTCCTCATGATCACATGCAGGCAATGGGCTTTTGGTTGCAATATTACACAACTACTCTTCTTGGTATAATATCTAAAGTACACCAAAAAACCAAAAAAAAAACACCCCAAAAAACCAAAAACAAAAAAAATTTTTTAATTTTTGAGACAGGGTCTTACTATATAGTTGAGACTGACCTGGAACTCACTATGTAGCCTAGGCTGGTTTTGAACTCATAGCAATTCTCCTGCCTCAGCCTCCTGAGTGCTGGGATTACAGGTGTTTGCCACCACGCCTGGCTAATTATCTTAACATTCATATATGTATCAAACCATAGTCTTAATACTAGAGCCAGTCTGATGATTACTTTAAAATCATAAATCACAAAAGTCTGTCATTTTTAGATTTTTAAATATATTTTTGCTGGGCATGGTAGTGCGTATCTGTTATCCCAGCACTTGGAAGGCTGAGGTAGAAAGATTACGAGTTCAAGGCCAGCCTGGACTATATAGTGATACCCTGTTTCAAAAAACAAAACAGAAAATTAACTTTTGTATTTTATAATTCTCCACAAAAATGTCATCTACAAAATAAAAACAAAAAACAAACTTTTCTCTTTGGAGATAACAAATTTTTTCTTTTTCTTTTTCATTTGTTTTTGTGATCTGTTATAGTTTTCATTGGAAACAATGCTAGTTTTTGTTTTCACCCTGTCTCTTACATTGCTTTGACGCACAGAGGAATCAAGCTTCAGTCTTTTACCCTCACTAAGGGTAATGCCTGATACTGTGTTGTCATGCCCCCTTATGTACTGTCTTCTTTTTTAAGATAAAGAATGCTGATAGGGGCCAGGGGTTTAGCTCAGTGGTTCTGGCACCTGCCTCACAAGTGCAAGGTCCCGAGTTTGGTCCCTGGTACCAAAAAAAAAAAAGAATGGTCACAGTACCAAACTACCAACGAGTAGTATAAAATGGAAAATAAATGTACCTTGAGTACTTCCAGAGAATTTATTTCTCAATAGTGTCATCAGGAAAAAATTTTCAGAATTATTTCAGTGTGTATAAAGCACATTATAAAAAGAAAGAGGGCCAAGGATATAGCTCAGTGTTAGCACTTGTGTAGTATACAAGAAGCCCTGGGTTCGATCCCCAGCAATGCCAAAACAGAACAAACTTCATTTTTTGTTTTTTGAAGCTATTAAGTTTTATTGTGTATATGTAATTTTATTAGTACATGAGTGCAGTACACAGTGTTTACTTTCCTTATGTGGAATTAGTTCATACACGCAACACATCTTCATTCCTTTTTCATCGCTTCCTCTCTTTCCTTCCCCTTCCATCTCTTGATCCCTTTCCTATTTTATTTTTTTGAGACAGGGTCTTGCCATGTATCCCAGGCTGGCCTTAAACTCACAGTGATTCTCCTGCCTCAGCCTCTGGAGTGATGGAGTGCACCACTGTACCTGGCTCCCTTTCCATTTGAGAAAGATGTCTCTCCCTACTCTCTATTACCTGTCTTTTTCTTTTGCTCTTTATTTTTACTTTAGGTTTCTCATGTAAGAGAAACTATGTGATTGATATCTAAGCCTGTGAATCTGATTTATTTCACTTAACATTATGGTCTTAAGGTGCATCCCATTTTCCTACAAGTGACTCAAGTTTATCCTCTTTTATGGTAGAATAGTACTCCAGGATGTGTAAATACTCTACATTCTTTACTCATTCATCTGTTGCTGTATGCATAGGCCGCTTCTAAGATTTAGTTGTTTTGAATTGTGCTGCTGTAAACATTTTTGCACCTGCATTTTTGTAGCCTCTGGAAAACATTCCGTGTTCATGAGAAAAATGAGAATAAAAAATGCAAATAACTTGATATTAATGGTATTATATGCAAACTTCACTTTTGTATAATGAATAAACTAGCAAGTGAAATTGATTCAGGAAAGTAAAAGAAATGACTGGTTAGATACAGGAAACACATACCTCTATGAGCTTTTCTGTTTTTGTTTTTGTGGCAGTGGGAATTGAACCCAGGGCCTTCTGTGTGCTACGGAACAGTATGTTCTTTAGATGAAAGCACACAGGATTCTTGATTGTAGAGCAGTGTAATTTACTATAGGTCATTTCTTTTTTTTGTGTTTTTTTTTTCCCCTTTATTTTAAAGTGTTTGCTCTATAATTGAAACCAATTTAAAAATAGTGCTTTTTTTCTTCTGCTGCTACATCTTTCTTTCTTACAGCTGGGAATGGAGGAAGAAGATGTGATTGAAGTTTATCAGGAACAAACAGGGGGCCATTCAACGGTTTAGATATTCTTTTTATTTTTTTCTTTTCCCTCAATCCTTTTTTATTTTTAAAAAATAGTTCTTTTGTAATGTGGTGTTCAAAATGGAAATGAAAACTGGCACCCCATCTCTTTAAAACATCTGGTAATTTGAATTCTAGTGCTCATTATTCATCATTGTTTTCATTGTGCTGATTTTTGATGATCAAACCTCAGCCTCCTTCATATTGTCCTCTCCTTTTTAAAAATTATGTGAGTGCACAGAGAGGCCGATTTTTTCAGGACTGTGCATTTTCAGGCTTGTGGTAATAAGATTGACCAATGTGATTGTTCATATGACTTTCCAATTGGCCCTGAAGTTCAAGCTTGTGATTGCTTCACTCCTGGACTATGACTTGCAGTGGGAGATGGAAGTTTTTCAGAGAACCAAACTGTGGAAAATGACCTTTCCTTAACTTGAAGCTTAAATCTGAGGGTCTGGACCAAAAGAAGAGGAAGATCAGCTTTGGAGTCAAGATGACAGACGTGGTGAGAGTAGTGACTAACTCCAAGGATGACTTCATTGAAGAGAAAGCAGTTTAAGATTAAAAAAAAAAAATCTTGTCAGAAGATCCCAGAAAAGTTCTAATTTTCATTAGCAATTAATAAAGTTACACATGCAGACGTGCATACAGCAGAACACTGCTCCTTTTGATTTTGTTTGTACTTTTTGGCCTGGGATATGGGTTTTAAATGGACATTGTGTGTATCAGCTTCATTAAAATAAACAATATTTGTAAAAACTGTACTAATGTTTATTTTTTTCATTGTATAGGAAGAAAAAAATGCCTAACGTAAGGTTTTCTAGCATAATACTGGAAATTATTTGGACACGGTGTAAGTATGTATTACTGTATGGTGGCTAGGCATGGTGGTGCTGCCTGTAATCCCAGCACTTGAGGGTGAGGCAAGACGATTGCCATGACTTTGTCTAGCCTGGGCTACATAGTAAGTCCAAGGTCAGCCTGAACTATATAGCAAGACCCTGTCTCAAAAAACTTAAAAAAAAAAAAAAATGATGTACCATGGTGATGTTGGTGACTGAAGCCTTGCAAGCTACTGAAGTGCCCTCTGAATCAAGGAGTTTGAGGCCATGATGCCCTACACACTATGTTTGTTAGTTAAAAAAACTTACATTCTATGTGGTGCATACATACACACTTACCCAGTGGTGGTCACATCAGAAATTATGAATTGGCTCATACTGATAATTTCTGTTCTCAGTTTGCGAGGCTGGGTGTGGTAGTTCATACCTGTAATCCCAGCACTTGGGAGCCTGAGGCAGGAGGATCACAGGGAGTTCAAGGCTAGCTTGGACTATATAACAAAATCCTGTCTCAAATAATTTTTTTGCAAAATGTTCTCTGTTTAAGTTTTGTATATTTGGTTTATATTTTCCTGTATATCTTTATTTTCTTTTTTCTTTTCTTTTTTTTTTTGGTACCAGGGATTGAAACTTCATGCTTGCCAGGCAGGCATGACACCATTGAGCTATGTCCCAAGCCCATTTTCCTATTTATCTTTAATTGTTTTATGCAGTTAATAAATACCACATTAGTTTGTTCCTTTCAGAGAACTTTTCTGACTCTTAAATTTTTGTTTTTTGTTTTTTTGTTACTGGGGATCTAACTCAGGACCTTTTTGCTTGTGAGGCAGGTGCTGTGCCATTGAGCTATATCCCCGGCCCTTAACTCTTTAATCTCAGAATTCAGTAAACCTGTGCATACATGCGATTCAGTTTCATGTTGCCTAAATAGTATCTGACTATCTGAAAAGAGCAAAGAAACAAGGGGAAAAAATGAGAACCAAGACCTGTCATGTAAAGGTACAAGATCCCAATAATGAATGTAACTGTACTGTATACCTAAAATGTACCAATAAACTCAATGAAGAAAAAACAAAACAAAACAAAAGCTGTCTCAGGTGTGTTCATGAACTTAACAGCTTACATACGCTGCTCAGGTCACTTGCTGAAAAATAAGTTGGCCTGAGCTTATCAACTCTTCCTGAAAATTATTTGTATAAATTAGAACTCATTTAATTTATTTTTCAGTACCTGGAATTGAGGCCAAGATCTCAACTATGCTAGGCAAGCACTCTACCACTGAGCAAATCACGTGGCATTTTATTTGTAACTAGGAATTAGGCTCAGCTTTAGAAAGTCCTCATGGGTCATTTTTATCAATATTAAATTCAACAGCTGGGCGTGGTGTCGCATGCCTGTAATCCCAGCACGTGGGAGGCTGAGGCAGGATCGCTGTCAGTTCGAGACCAGCCTGGGCTTCATACTGAGTTCCAGGTCAGTCTCAACTCTTCATAGTGAGACCCTGTCTCAAAAACAAAACAAAACAAAAAACATTGGCAAGGGCTGGGGATTTAGTTCAGTGGTTCAGGTATCTGCCTCACAAGCACAAGGACCTGAGTTTGATCCCCAGTACAAAACAAATTCTAGTTTGAGCTCAACAAAACATTGGCTTTTGGAGCTATCCAGTATTCATAAACACGTAGTTTAGTGTCTTAATTTTGTTTCCATTTCTAAACATCTGAAGGCTAAGCATTTGGGTGGTGGGGCTTAGCTACTGGAGAAGTAATTTTCTTGTTTTTAGTTTATTGGATTCTAACTGCACTGCACTCTGCTATAGTTCATGTAAAAATGTGCTTATCTAATTGAGTGAGGTGGTGCATGCTTGAGGCAGGAGAATCACTAAGAGTTCAAGGCCAGCTCCTGTCTCAAAACAGCAATGAAATGGGTTGGGGATTTAGCTTGGTACCACACCTGCCTTGCAAGCCACAAGGTTCTGAGTTGGATCCCTGGTAAAAACAAAACAAAACAAAACAAAACAAAACAAAAAACTGGTAAAATAGGTAACTGCACAGCAAAAAATTAATAGAACATTAATTTGGAGGGACTTTGAATAATATTTAGTACAGCCATCCTATCTAGTGCTTGACTACAACATTTTAGATTCTTAGGATGAAATGGCTGTGGTTTTCCTCTAAGATGGGATTTGTTTTGTGTTTTTGAGACAGTGTCTCAGTAAGTAGACCAGGCTTGCCTCAAACTTTGTCTGCAAGTGCAGGGATTATGGGTATATATCACTATGACCAGCCTCAGGAGATTTCTTAATATGTAAAAATGTGAATTAGCTTCTCTTCGCTAATGCAGAGTTATTTGCATCACAGTTTTTCCACTTACCTTCAACTCTTGAGCACATTGAAATGAAATACATGGAGTATCCTAAGACTATGTTAGTGTTTCAAACTGAACTTATGTAAATACGTGGCACCAGAGTTTCGGGATTTATTGGTTTTCAAGAACATAAAAGTGAAGAGAGTTTAATTGAGTTGAACAGATGTGGAGGGGCAGTGGCAATGGCAGTTCCAGGGTAGAGAAAAACCTTAGGTGTGGCTTGATGTGAACCAGATGAAACAAAACTAACTGGGTTCAGGATGGAATTTCATTATGAAAGGAAATTTCTCTTTCTGTCATCACTCCCAACTTACTTTTAGCTTTTCTTCTAGCCTCACGGCCTTGGTATTTGTAGGAACTGGAAATAAGAGTAAACCCATGGTCTGGAAATGCTCTGTGTCCACTGCAGGCCACTGGCTTCCTTACGGAGTTCTTGATGGAAACGAAGATGCTTCTCCAAAGCAGCTTTTTGCCTAAGAAGACAATCCCACCCTCAATCCCCGTGATTGAGCACTCTAAAAATGGTGCTTGTGAATTGCTAGTGCTTTGGATTTGAATAATCAGACTTGGGGCAACTGATTTTGTTTGTTTGTTGTTTTGCTTTTGGTACAGTGGAGCAACTCACAACCTCATACTTGCCAGGTGGGCCGGGTGCCGCTCAGCTACATCCCCAGCCTGGCAGTTGATTTTGGAATTTAGTAGATCATACTTTGTTCATTAATTACTTATGAGGTTTAGGAAATCACGAGTCTCCACAAGAATAAAAAGGAAGGTGTAATTCAGTTCTTAAACTTGTATTGTTGGAAGGGACTCCTTTGCTTTGGAGATGAGGCCAGAGCAATTAAGATTCCTGGGTCTGTGTCACACAAGGAAGATCGAAGTGGTGTCTATTCCCAACACTTGGTGGGTGGAGACTTTACCCCCTACTCCTTCACATCCTTGGTTTTTTACTTTGAGCTACTTGGATTTGCCTTACAAAATTACTTAATTTCCATGCTGGGCATGGTGGTGCACACCTATAATCCCAGCACTTGGGAGGCTGAGGCAGAAGGAGCACCAGGAGTCTGAGGCTATGTACTATGGGGTACATAGTTCAGGGCCAGCCTGAACTACGAAGTAAGACCCTGACTCAAAACAAAAGTTAATTAATACCCCCCATGACTATCAGTTTTCTTGGGAAATTGAAGTTCCCATAACTTGCCTTTGGTCTCATTACTGCTTCTGTGAACCCAACCCCATTGCTATGATACAAAGAATCCATAATTTTGAAGTGGAATCAGGTTTTACCTAATTCATTTTGTAATTCAAGTAACAGCCGAAGAAAATCCAGAGGAGGAAAAGCTCAAGGTTAGTGAAAAAAACCATTAAAATTGATTGTTCAGGTGGCTTTAGGTTCAGCATAAGTTGTGGGAAATACATTTCAAGGGGAAAAGTGTTTATAGTTAAGGTTGGAATCAAGCAGTGTTTCTGGATTGTGCTGCTCTCCTTTAGTATTTTATTCTAAAAGGGGATTCCTAGTTGCTTTTCCCTAAGATGGGAAATTTACGTGTAGCAACTACTGAGGACCTATTTTTTTTAAAGGGTCTATTGAAACCACACTACTTAAGATATTCTGTTAGCAGAGAGATGCAAAGGTCATTACTGTTGTGGGAAAATAAAAGGAGGGTGCCCTCGGCTATGGGTGACTGAAAGGACTCTTGGTTTTTTTTTTTTTTTTTTTTGTTA